CCCGTCCGGGACTGGTTCTGCTCGGGGTGCTCTGTCTTCTCACCGTGGCCGCGCCCCCTCCCCCTCCCCTCCGGGACCGTGGCTGCGGCCTTTTTTGTTTGCTGGTAGTGGTAGCCATGGAAATCAGAGTCTTTGTTTCTGAAACTTGAATGGATACGCCTAGCCAGGTCTCCGAATCTCCTAGGAATTGTTTCTGAAACTTGAATGGTAGTGGTAGTGGTAGCCATGGAATTGTTTCTGAAACTTGAATGAAATTTAGGTTGTTGGGGGAATTGAAAGTTGAAACACATGCTGTGGTTCACGGTTCACCTCACCTAGTGCATGTACTTTCACGGTAGTTGCCACAGATCTTTTCACCAATCAGCTAGTGCAGCAGCTACCCTCTTCATTTTTCACGGTAGTTGCCACAGATCGATGACAGTCAAACGAAAGTGTGCCTTCTAAAATCTTCTTGGCATAGTACAACAGTAGTACTTCACTGCATACTTTCATTTCATATTTGTGAGAAGTAGTTCAAATCGAACCAGGGGCAACAATGGCAATCTACCCTTAAACTCCTCTTTTCAGGAGCTGGGGACACCCTCCCAGCCAAACACCTCCATCAGACAACTCCAACTCCACCCAGAGCTGACTCCACCAGGAGTTCTGGAGTGGAGCAGCTCTACCCAGAGTTGGAGTCATGCCAAACAGGCCCTTAGTTAGCTTACCATGATCCTATGGGTTTTGAGGTGACAACATGTGTTTGCAATTCATCCAAGCATCTTGAGATACCAAAGTCTGTAACTTTCGGCACCATATCATTATCTAGCAGTATATTCGCAGGTTTCAAATCTAGATGAACAATTCGTTCCTCGTGAAGATAATGTAAACCCTCACAAACTCCCTTTATTATTTTATAACACTTTCCCCATTCACGAGATGCATCTGCGGAAGGGAGTAGAAACAATGGGTTTACTGTCCTTGATTCTTAAATGCAAAAGGATGCTCGTACCAAATAATCTTAAGTAATAAAGAAAATGGGAGGAAAGCAAAGTTACAGGCCATATGATCGTACCTTTGATGTATTCATTAAGACTTCCATTAGGTACATACTCAAGGCAAAGCAACCTTTGGCATACATCTCCCATGACAAACTCTCCATTGTACTTTACCATTTGTCCTTGTCTGTCAGAGCAATATCCAAGAATTCGTACTATATTTTTGTGCTTCGCCATCATCAGACACTGAACTTCTCTAATGAATTCCTTATCATCAATAGAATTCTGAGACAGATGTTTCACAGCAACCTCCCTGCGGTCAAGCAGTCCCTGCAGTAGCGACATACCTTTGTCAGGATTAACTTGGTTTTGCTGAGCAGCTGTGATTTAAGACACTTGGCAAGCTGAGAGTCTGCACCTTGTAGACCACAGCAAAGCCACCACGTCCAATTTCATGGGAGGAATTTTATTTGTGATGATCTTCAGAAATGACAATGACAGGCGCTTCGCCTCCATTCTTTCATCAAGAAGAATGCGCTCCAGGTCATTTTTTGTAGTAATAGCTTGGTCATCCATTTACAGTTACTACACTTGAAATTAAGCAAGAGCAAGTGCATTATTAATGAGGTCACTGGCTCAACTCCACAATGACATAAGTACGATTGGAAGACATCAATAGCCCTCCAACAACTCCTTATTTCAACTCCCAATCTTTCCGTACTTGGAAAATTGATCCAATCTAACAGGAATATATGCATACTTATCAATCGGTCAATCTGAAGGTGGAAGGATGTGAGGAAGAATAAGGGAGGACAGGGTTCCTAATGCAAATCTAAGAGAGAGAGAGAGAGAAATATAAAAGTGGTTGGGTTGATTTTGAAAATAGTCGGGGATTTCTGATTAAAAATTACCTTTTATTTTTAGGAGCTAGGTTTTGAAAAAGGTTGGAGGAATCCAACAAATGTGCTTCCAACTTGTTTACTACTCCCTCCGTCCTGAAATAAAGTGCATTGTTATGACTTCTAAATTTTATACTGAAATACAATGCATTCTATATGTTGTCCATGCTTAGATTGAAAAATTTTGTTAAAAAGAAAACCACGGAGAAATACCTCATCTGGGTTTAATCTATGGGTACATGCATCATTTAAGTATTCTCTTAAGTTGTTTTAAAGTTTTTTGAAAATGCACTATATTACAACACAAGGGGAGTACGTAGAAAACTTATTGCTTTACAATTATTTTTTTGAAAACTATTAGAGATACTCTTTTAAGAATTAACATCTATAATATTAAACAAATGTACGAACCAATACTATCTTTTAATAATGAATAAATTTAGCCAAAATATAAAGAAGTTTGTTTAGCTTGTAACAACAAGCAATTTGAAAGGGAGTACCAACGAGCGACAAACCGGACGGCCACGGAGCTTCGCGAGCTCCCACCATGGCGGGGCCGAAATTGGGGGGTGGGGGGGGGACGGCCAGACGGGCACCAGCGTTACGAGGACGAGTATAAGCGGAGAGATCTATGGCGGCAAAAAGAAGAACACCTACCTAGTAGAAGGGAGCGAGCTAGCCGTGGTTCGTGCGGCGCGGGTGCGGGAGGACGACGTGGTGCTCACCGTGGGGTCGAGGTGTTGTTTAGCTGGTGAAATTTTTTGGAAAATGATATTATAGCACTTTCATTGTTATTTAGCAATTAGTGTCCAATCATAGTCTAATTAGGCTTAAAAGATTCGTCTCGTGAATTTCGTCTAAACTGTATAATTAGTTTTATTTTTTATTTATATTTAATGCTTCATGCATGCGTCTAAAGATTCGATGTGACGAAAAATCTTGAAAAATTTTACAAAATTTTGAAAACTAAACGGCCACCGACTCTGAAGTGAGCACGAGCTCGGCTCGGCTGCGACGTCAACAAGGCCGCGCAGGAAAAGCGTGGGCTTTGGTAGCGGGGGTGGTTGCAATGGACGACAGTGGTGACTTTTGATTACAAGTTTCTTATAGGGGGCAATATAATATAGATTGTTCGATTGTCATCCAAGCAAGCTGTTCATTTTATTTGACTGGCACTATTTAAAGTTTGCGTTCTTTGTTTTATGCCATTTTCGTCAGAAAAGCATGCGTCTTTTTCTAAACGTAATGGAGTAAACCTTGACCCTTCCTTGCATATGCCATTGGGCATTGGCAGCAAAATACAAATTCGCAGATAGTTAGCGTGGTGCCATCATAGTTACGTGACGACCGCGCGGCGCGACACTGCTGCGTGGGTACGGTGGTGGGTGGTGGGTGGAAGGCGGACCAAGGCGCGGCGGTGCGGGCGTGGGCTGTTTGGAGGCGAGGGGCGGAGGTTGCGGGCGGGCGAGGCGCTGCAGAGGAGAGGAGGGCGTGGACCGTGGAGGGAGCAAACGGCGCACTCCGTTCCGCACTCATGGGGCAGCGAAGGAAGCGAAGCGAGCAGTGTGATCGCTGGAGAAATAAATGAACTATATAAACGCATGCTATACAGCTGCAGTTAATTTGCTGATCTATAAAACACCACACCCCTAGTTACGAGTAATTATCCTGTTCGTTTGGCTCATAAGTCATGACTGAAAGTACCGTTGGCTGATTTGTTGTAAGAGAAAAATACTGTTCGTTCACTAAAAAAGTACAATTTATAAGCCAAGCGAACAGGGCAAATAGCATCAAGATAGTACTATAAGCTAACCGGAAAATCAATGTACACAAATATACAAAACTATGTTTGATGAAACTCTCGTACCTCATCAATCACGAAATCATATTAACAAAAAGATCTTCAAAGCTAGAAGTGCAACCCAAGGCTCTACTTCTGCGTTCGTCGGCTAGTACATCTGTTTTATTCTGGATCTAACCGTGCACTCTAACAGACCCATTCTTCGGCAAGCGAACAATTCTGCCAAGTCACAAGAGAAGCATGATGGACCAAATTGCTTTTACCGGCCATCTGGATGTACGTTGTGGCGATTGCCCTCCACCACTTTGAAACCTCTTCATGATTGTGTCACTGATATTATGCATGCATTCGGCAGGACGCCCAATAATGTCTGTTGCCCTCTTAATGTGTTTTTGATAATGGAAAATTATTACTTTAGATTCTTTTGCATTTTCATCATCTTTACCCTTCACTAACTTATTTGCACTAGTTTCTTTGTTTTTTATGATTCTATTAAACTTTCTTGGCCACTTACACCCGCAAATTGTTTACTCAAGAGAATAAAATCTATACATGGTCATGGGCGGTTCACCCAATTAATGTGGAAAATAGAGCCCAAGCTTATTTAGTGGTAATAATTGGCAACACATGCCCTTTTTATTTATTTAATTTAATCAAACAAAAAAATTACAAAACTGTGTGACATTACATTGGACTGCTGACTATCGAGCAGTCTATGAAACTATCAATGGGTCCATTGATCGATGGATTGCATGCGGTTTGAACAAAAACAGTTATTAGCTAAGAAAACATCAAATTAATCAATAGTTAGTTTCATCCATGCATATATCCATGAAATGTGATTAAAACCATGGGCAATTGGGCATGCGACCAGCCGGTGACGTGTGTGTATATGGAAATTATTTCCTACTCCTAGGGAGTAGTTACTCCCATATGTATATCTCTAGATTTAAGATGTAGGACGTATATGGCCCGACGAAGTGTATGTAGATGAACTATATCATCATACTAGATCATCTAGGGTACTATGTATAATAAGTATGTATGTATACTTAGAGTATATGGTTATACTTATTTTATATGCTACTATCATAGTATTATATAATATATTAAAAAATATGTGCTCTTTAAAAAAATCACATAGTAAAGATCTGAAGTATCTTAATATTAGTATGTCAACATACTCAATCTGATAAATGAGTATGTACACATACGCAACATGGAAGTATATATAGCTCAATGCCACGTCACCAGCAGGAGCAGGGGTGCACGTACGCCTTCTTGCACACTTGGATACGAAGCTGCCCGCAGGTCCTTCGATCTCTACCTTGGTGTAGGAGGAGGGGTGCATTCCATCTTGCATGCCTCGGTAAAAAACGGGTCCTTCTCTGCCTTGCTGCAAGCCGCGTCGCAGCTAGCGGCGACCTCCGCTGCTTTAGCCTTGTACTCTTTGTTGCACGCTTCCTCGCAAGCAGGCTTGGTGGCTGCCGCCGCAGGCTGGGCGCAGTTGGCCAAGCACGCAACGCCCACGATGAGCACCAAGGTGGCACGCTGGGAGACGGCGCAGGACTCCATGCAGCTGCTCTTGAGGGCCGGCTCCTTGTTCTTGTCGACACAGAGTGTAGCAAAAGTCTTCTTGTAGCTTCTTTGCGTCGAGTTTTTTTGCGTCGGCCGTCGGCCGTCGTCGTCTCACCGGCGGCGGCAGCTGCTGCTTCACCGATGTCGCTCTCCTTTGCATACTATGAGTGTGAGGACCAACAAGAAGAGGACCACCACTATCTTCATTTTCTTGGTAATGGACGTTGCTGCTGTGTGTTGAGCTTAATTGGTGATGATGGAGGGGATGGCAGCTTTGTGCTTATAGAACTAGCATTTGTATTTGTTGGTCATATACTCATATATATAGGACAGCATATCGAAAAAAGGATATGTAAGTGTGTGGCCATGAGAGTTTCCCTCCCTACCTCTTGGTTCTGATTGCATGCATGTATCCATATATGCGTGCATGCAGTCCCTAGACCCTTCGATCTATTGGTTTTCCGTTTCATCTGGGGTTACGACAAACTCAAAAAGGTGTGGTTGTCATACTCGTCTCAACATTAATTTTAGTAAGTATCCATACACACATTTTACATTCACTCATCTTACAGGATTTGGTCATGGCGGTATGGCAATAAATTGAGCGCGTGGTGAAGGGATTTTTTACCCAGCCACATGAATGGTGATTGTCTAGTCTACAGTAGATTGATATTGATAATAACTAGTATGTTTGTATATTTCAAGGAAAGAACTTTTATGGACTGTGTGCTTTTATGCAGAGGTCGGAAGTGATCTCAAGGTGGTTGATCAGCTCTATGTAACTATATCTTGAGTTTTCCTAATAAAGTTCTTCCTCGGGATGCATTCTCAAGGCGTCCATTTTGTTTTCTATGTTGGACCAACAAATGCACACTGTCGAAATCATCAGCATACACGCAAGTCTCAATGTACATCCTGTTCTCGCTTAGTCGTATTTGACTTATAAGCCATGGCTTATCACCAACGAACAATATTTTTCTCTCACACCAAACCAACCAACAGTACTTTCAGCCATGGTTTATAAGCCAAACCAGCCCAAACGAATAGGGCGGTAGTCTCTAGCCTTCCACCGATGATCCATCATTCGACCTAGGAGCCATGCATGCCACAGACATACCACACCCATCCTGAACAGATCTCCAGCTTATTTTACCACCCTAGCCCACTTCGCAAATGCCGGAAGCTAAGAATTCTATCGCTACGATAGATAGATAGATTAGGAAATTGTCTATTCACGGTCCCGGATTAGGCATGAGCTAAGAATTCTATCGCTACGAGTATTCAGCTTGAGTTATCACTGGTCAGATTCGAGCAAAACTTCTTCAATTTCACCAGACGCACTTGTTCCTGTCAAAATAGTCATAAATGAACTTGTTTCCTCAGGTGCAAAATGCACATGTAAAACTACGCCCGCCTGCACACGATTAGCCATTCGTTTCGACTGAAACGATCATGGATTATTACTGCTGGCTGGTTTGGTGTAAAAGAAAAATACTGTTCTGGCTTATAATCAACGATCGTTTACAACCAAGCGAACATGCTAGGCTGAAACGATCGTGGATTATTACTGTTGGCTGGTTTGGTGTGAGAGAAAAATATTGTTCTGGCTTATAATGCACGATCGTTTACGACCAAGCGAACAAGCTGGTCATAAACGATCGTGGATTATAAGCCAGAACAATATTTTTCTCTCACACCAAACCAGCCAACAGTAATAATCCACGATCGTTTCAGCCGAAACAAATAGGCCGCATGTGATTCACATCCAGTCATTTACATGGATTGCTTGCTCCAGCATGAAGGAAACAATAGCTATTGTCATCACATTTTACAAATCCGGTAAACAGTCAACTGATCTTCTGCTGAGATGCCTCAACGTACTGCAGCGCAAGCTTCTTCACCTTGTCACCCTCCTTGATCAAAAAGTTCGCATTTTTGGCGTCACGGTGGAAGCTCATTACCTTGTCAGTTGTTTTCACGACGGCCCACTTATATTGATCAACCGTGATCACACCACTCTTGCAAAGTGGCCTGATCTGCTCTTTCACGAACATTTCAACCTATATACATAGAAAGCAAAGAAAAGAAACGTGTATGAAGTGAAAATTTTGGTGGATGACACCTACAAGAAAACTGTTGTCAATCAAATAAGTGGGGTACCTTCTTATATGTAGAGTTTGAGGCATCTGGTGTATTTTTACCAGCTTGATCAGGCGCCCGCTTCTTCGGATCATCTCCACCTTCAGCTGCATGTTTTGGTTTGTCTGCTTTTGGGTCTTTGCTGTTTACTGATGGTTTGTCACTGCGAGATTTCTCTTTAGAGGGCTCCGAATTCTTTGGTTTGCTGATCACTTCACCATCTGTCGTCAAACCATCCTCGCGAGATTGATTAGGTGAAGTGCTCGCTGCTTTCTCCATCTCTCTCGAAGCCTCCACATGCCCAGGAACTTTATCAGGCGTGTTGCAATCAACTGAAATTTCTTTACCAGGTCCACTTGATTTTTCGCATCGCTCACTGCACCTATCGACTTCAGTCAAGTTTGCGGCATTGATTTTCTTTGCTGCCATGTCCTCAGTTTCTCCCTTGCTTGTCAACTTCTGTTGTTCCTCAGAATTATGTTCAGGTTGCTGACACATAGTGTCGAGGCTTTGGCAGTTTGCAGCACCAAGATCAGTAGGCAGCGATGAATTGTCATCTTTCAGTGAGGATACGTCCTCGGGATTTGACTGCAAGCTTTTGCTCGGTTCCTCTAGCCTGGATTCTCCTGCATTAACCAACAGAATATCTTTCAGAATTAATATTTCCTTTGTGAAATCGTAGGACAATTAGAAACTGTCATGGAATCAGAGTTACCTTCAACCTCCGTGGTCCCTCTGTCAGGACTGTTAGGAGGAGAATCAAAGAGGCCTGCTTTTCTTAGTGCATCTTCTGCACTGCTGAAGCTAACAGTATCCTTGTGCACAGTATGCCCTGGTGCAGTATCACTGCCTAGTTCACTCTTTTGATCGGAGACAGCTGCTCTGTTTAGAGCCTCTTCCACATCACTGCCACTAACATTGGTATCCTCAGATGCAACCTCCTGTGATATCTGATCACTGCCTGATTCAGTCCTTTTGGTTAGACTTGAAGTGTCGTTATCAGATTTTGCCTTGGCATGCTGGCGAGTAGCCTGGGAGCAAAGATTCACATAAATTGATTTGCTATTTGACCTTTCATAAATACCCTTTTCTACATTGACAGCATCAGCAATGGCCAATTCAGTATCTGCACATCTGCGAATGACATCCAAATTTGCTTTCTGCAAATAATGCTCAGCAATGCGGTGAAGTTGTGCCTGAGATACATAAGTCTGATTAATAACATAAACACTTGATTTAAAAGAAAATACAAGCACACATATGCTTAGAGCAGTTATAGGTTGTTGTGGTGAAGGATTTTTTTAAGCTGATATTGAAAAGTAGTGGTGACAAACTCATGTTTGGCAATCATTTAACAGTTCAGTAAAATCTATCATCCAATGGTTAATCCTTCTCTACTTTCTCTCTAATAAATAATAACTAAACCATTTTCTGTTATTTGAAAAGTAAAAATATCTAGTTTAGCAACAAGGTGTAGAAAAGGACAGCTAACCAAACATTAGAAAGTATATTGAACAGCTGTTTGACTTTGACAAAACAAGGTTATCTTGAAAGATACGGCAATGCCAAACATATAATTACCTGTCTAACTGATACCGGAACCTTTTTGTTGCTGCCAGCTGCAAGCTGCGGCCTCATATCCATCGGAAGTTGTGCCTAAGAAAACCAAGTACATGAGTATCTGTGGAGTTGTAAATGAACTTTAGAAACATATTTTAAAAATGGTACATACTAGTAGAGGGAAGTTTCCCTTGAGAGTATCAGTGCCTCCAGTCTGCTCTTTGCTTGTAACAGAACTAGCATTTTTTCTTGCCAGGATCTCAAGAGCCCATTTTCTTTTGTCCTGTTTGATATCACCAGAAGATTGGTTTCTCTTATCCTGGGAGGGCTGGCTATTTCTATTTTCACTTCTGCTAGATGCTTCTTTATTCAGAATTGAAGAGCTTGATGCTTTCCCAGTGCTGCTGGGTGAACTGATTTTCATTGTCTCAGTGCCTGCTGCAGGTATGTTAGAAGATTTGTTACCATTAGCTTTAATTTGGCTACTTTTATCTAATGGCGCACATCCTGCAAAGGCAGAGAGAGGCCTAATATCATCCTTCCTGGGAACAACTGATGCATCAGCTAAATACAACCTTGACAAAATGGAATTGTTGTTGTTCTCTTCCTTTTTCCCCTTAGCACTTTCCTTGTCCATTTCAGAGGATTTCTTGAGTAGCTGAAGTACTGATTGCAGTGTCTCAATCTTTTCAGGATTTATTCCTGGGGAGCAACGGTATTTCCAGAATTCAACTTCCCAATCACGATGCCAATCGCTTCTTCTTCTTCCTGTAGATGCCCCATACAACTTTTTGGTCAGGTTTTCACGTTTCTTGCCCTTCTGAAGCAATGACCTCCTTGTTCTCATTAATTGGTTGGTATTAGTACTTCTGACTGGTCCATCCACTGACTTTCCTATAGCTGCACGGAATGCAGTCAACAGTTTTTCATCAAAGGATCCATCCCTCTCGAGTATATTAGTGCCTGTATCTCTAACTACTTCCCTTATCTCTTTCTGTAACTTTTGAACCAAGGCAGATGATTCTTTTCCTTCTTCCTTTCGGAAGATCTTTTTCACTCTAGGACCAGCCTTATCTCCTGCTCTTCTTCCTACAGGCTTAGCCAGCTCTCTACCAGGATCTCTTCTGTAAACATCACCTTCAACAATACTCATTATATCAGGAATAGATTTCTGTTGTGCAACAGACTCTGACATATCGTCATCGGTAGCTTTTGCAGGACTAGTAGTGTGACTATGTGTTGAAGAAAAACCAGAGTTTCCGATTACATTAATGTCCTGCTCTTGCACTTCCAGTTTT